TGGACTTCGGGGTTCACCATGGCCTTTAAACCTGACCAGACTTCTGTTGAACCTTTCTGACTGAACCGCCAATGAAAAAACTGGAGAAAACAGGAACCTCTCCATGCCAAATCCCAATTAATCAGGCTAATGGAGAAGCCTGCCAGATCCTCGGAGGTATGGTCCGTCTGCTGCTGGAGATGAAGCCGCAGCACTGGACCGCGTCCCTGAGGAGCGGACTCCTCCAAGGACACACAGAAATGTGCATCCCACTGCGGTGGGCACCCACGTTCTCCAGGTTCAGATGCTGGCGGCAACAGCCCGCTTGTGTCCCAGTCTCTCCAACCCGAGAGATCCCTGTTTGGCCTTGACATTGCTCGCCTGGCCTGGGCAGTGATGTCTGGCAGGTTCCCTGTCTGCCGAGCTGCTTTTTCCATCTCTTCTCACTGTGCTCTTTAGAAGGAAGTTACCGCCCGTCAGCCCATCAGCCCACACTTCAGGGGCGCGAGTCATGGGCCACCCACCTGCAGGGGCGGGGAGAGACGATGAAATCTTTAGAATTCTGAGCACATTTCTTCCCCTGGCTCCGTTTGTTTGGTTATATCAGTACGGACTCTCGCGTGTTCATTTTACATTTAAATTTCTAATCAGCACTGTGTTATCTGTTGTGTTGCTGAAACTGTTCCAGCTTTGGCCCCTGGGAGCCCTTTCTCTGTCCTCTTGGCATGTCCCATGGTTTTGTCCTGAGCACTTCCTTTCTGCACTGTTGATACTCCAGGCTGATTATCTCAAATATTCCCAATCCTGTTTCTAGAATGAGTCATTTTCCCACAAGGAGCCCTGGTTCCTCTTGATTGGAAAATAAATAGGAAAACCAAGATCTGGGCATGGGGTGGGTTGTCGTGTTTTGAAGGCTGCTTTCAGAGGCAATTTTGACAGCAATCTCTGTAGCAGAAAACGCAGCCCTGCTGCTGCTCAGAGGAACAAGTCCTGTTCATTGCCCGTGCTTTATGAGGTTTGCATTTTGGTTTGGAAAAGTCAATATCACTAGGCTCTGCAAATATTTGAAGAACACAGCATGTCATGGTTAACTGAGGGCGTGTTCGGAGGCAAGACCACTCTGGGTAAACTCCACAAAATGACACTTTTCCCGAAATGTTCTTAGCCGGCTTAACTTCTGAAGCATCTTGTTTTCGAATCGGACTGGTTAAATTAGGTCCGAGTATCGTGCCAGGACCCAGTGCTTTGCTCAGAGAACGCTGGCTGCCCTGCAGATGGGCATCACAGCCTACGGCAGTGCCATACCAACTTGGAGTTGCTTGTTGTTTCTAGATGGTGCAGGATGTACTCCTTCGGTGTAGGAGGTGCTGGGAGATGACATAGCACTTTCATACCCAGAGCCTGTCAGGGAGAAGGAGAAGGGCAGCTTGGATAAGCAGAGCATTGCCAGTGGCTCTGCAACGCCCAGGCCCCATAACAGCGTTCAGCTTCCACACTCTGAGAAGCCTCAAAATAGACCTAAGTGTAGTGGCTGAAAACTTGAAGAGGCACCTCTGTGCCATGAGACTCGATAAGGGATCTTCAGGATTCTGCCCCAGGAAACACAAGATAGAAAATAGCGATTCAGTGGTGCACGTCATGTGTACTGCGGAGCTTTAGAAAAGGGGTTCAGAGCTGCTGTCCAGGAAGCCCCCATTAGAAGTCCATCAGACTTTACCATTTGGGTTGTCCCGTGGTCACCTGTCCAGGTGGATTGACATTGATGCAAAGTGTCTTAAGTGATACAAGCACAGGCACTACTGTTGTGTCCCCTCGTTAGAGTCCTCCAAAGGACAGCTGATATTTCCTGTAAGGCAGCAAGAGGCCTCTGGGTGACCATTATCCGTGTGTGGAAGCCAGAGGGAGGGATTACCTGGCTCGCTTCCTGCAGAAGCACACACCATCGTTCTCTATGTCCTGCAATTACACCCTCCTTTCCCCTTGGTTTGCTATAACTTAAAAGCAATTTTACGATGATTTTGCAAAGCCCGAGGAGATCGCAACATGTGTTCGAGGCATTATCTCATTCAGATTACCACTGGCTGCAAAATAAAGCATGCTAATGGCTCTCCTGGAAGCTGAAGTTCTGAGCAGACTATGGGCTCCTCTTGCATCCTAACCATTAGGGAAATGGGGAGTAGCCGCCCTCTGGGTTCCTAAGGCATGGACTACTGACAGACAAGGGAAATACTGGGAGCCTAATGTAAAGCAGGAGAGATGCAGCTAGTTGTTGGGGTGGGATACGGATGGGGTATAAATCACATCCCAGCTCCATGCTGGCTGTGTTTTGGAGTTATGGGAAGCTGCCCCCATGCCTGGGCTGTAGCTTGAATGATATCTCCATTTTAAGGCAAGCCACTCAGCAAGGACACTTGGGTAATAAAGTCCATGAGCTCCAAGATGCTAAATCTAAGGGAGTGTTTTTCACCTCCTATCAAAATGGGCTGTGAGCGCTGGCAGCCTGCAGTAGGATTAAGTAATAGCATATCTGCCCTTTTTAAGAACCAGTGGGATATACATCCCAGATGCTGAAAACACATAGGAAAAAAGCTTCTCTCATTTATAAGGTGAAGCACATTTTTAATAGATCCTCCGAGGTATTTTTGAGAATGTTTCAACATGACATAGTAAATAGTACCAGCCTGATTCCATGAAACTCAATTTAGTCCAAACATAAAAGATGTTCTCTGTAAAATTTCAGTGTCCTGCTTTTACACTACCATAATTCACTTTATAATGGACTCAGTTTTATTTTAGAAAAGAACTACTTACATTTTAGGAAAAGAAGATAAATATTTGGTGGAGCTGGCAGATTTTTCACTTGATCTTCCAAAGTTATGTCATTCCATTTTTGAAATCTCCAAGTCTTCAAAGCTGGTTCTGTACAGTGTCTCCAGTAGCTGCGCCCAGCCATCTGCCTCTGCCCTTGTACCCTCTCAGCTCCCAGGGGCACCCTACAGCGCTTTTGGTGGGTGGTTACTATGCCAAATTGGGATAGGATGGTAAATCCTCTTGATGGCTTATGACATCGGAGTCCTGCTTCCCTTCCCTTACTAAAATCTCTAGTTTTTTCTGGACTTAACAATGGCCTTGTCATATTTCCTTTAGCTCTCTGTGTACCTAACATAAGTTAGTCCCACTTTCCTTCTTTGCATAAATCCTGTATCATCTGCGCAGAAACATTAGGTGTCCTGTCTGTTCTGCTGTCTTGAGGGAGCGTCTCTGGGTGCCTCGTGCCTGATGTGGTGTGGACCCCCCGACCTGTCACTGTCACAGCCTTGCTTAGCTCACCTGTGCTTCGATCCCAGCTTGCCTTTTGCTTTTCTGTCGTGTTCAATCTTGTGTTTTCTCTTTCTTCTCCTGTGACCTTTTCGGCTAAGCAAAGCCCAGTAGCTTCCCCAAAAGGATGCATGGAAGGTAAATTTTTTGAGGTCCTGAACAGTAAAGATGCCTTTCTTTGAAGTACCCCGGATTGAGAGTTTGCTGCAGAGATCTAAGGGAGAAGTCATCTTCCCTCAGACCAGGGCTGCCGTCTCCCAGCTGTTGGGCAGCCTGCAGTGCCCTGTCCTCCGCCCGGGTGAGCACTGTCTCCATCTTCCTGGAACTCCTCTTATCCCAGTCTTGGGCCTCTGTTGTGTTTGTTTGCTTGCTTTTTAATCTATCCTCCTGTCTCCTCTGCTTCTTACGCCATCTCCCTGTCATTTTATAGATTTTTCATTTTTGCTTTCCTCCTCTTCATCCCCAGCCCTCTTCTGTTCTGTGAAGCTCGTGCTTCATAACATTTCCATTCTGTGCTTGTTCCATGGATGTGGTTTCTTCTCCTGTCTCCCTTGAGAGTGTGAGTGGAGCAGTCTGTCTCGCATTTACTTTGTTTCCTCTGAAGGTTTTTTCCCCTTTGCCTGGACCTCTTCATATTAGTGGCCTTCATCAGCATCCCAGGGCCTTGGCTGTGCACTGCTTTGCTTGGTGGAGCTCTCGCCGCCTCTGGGGATTCATTGCGGGATGGTCCTTGCTGATGGCCATGCCCACATCTTGGAGCTGTCAATGTTTAGGAATCTTAGGTCTTCATGCTCGGTCTGGTCAGACACCTCAGGAATGGCTCACTCTGGGTCTCCTGTTTGGGGACTCTGCTGGTTTTCTGTGTTCTGGTTGCTAAGGAGGAAGAACAGGGGGAGGTGGCAGCAATAGCAGCAGGTGGCACCCATCCCTTACTCCTTGTCGTCTGGGTAATAACTGTCCTCAACCGTGCTGCCACCCCCACCCCCATTTTGCTTACCCAGAGATGAAACCGCCAAGTGCTGCGGAGTCTGGGGAGACACAGTCCCCCATCAGTGGCCCAGCTGCTGGGACCTCGGCTTCCCGAACTTCCTGGTCTGTGGGGAAGGAAGGGGGAGGGTAGAGAGCTCCATTCCCCTCCCCCACGGTCCAGGACTCCCTTTTCTTGAGTCTGTCCAGTCCATTTTCCATGTCCTTCTGCGCTTCAGAGTTCCAGTGCTGTGCCTTCGTCTTTTTCCCTTGTTCTCTAACTGGACCATAAAAAGCTCACAAGTATTTACTTTTGTTCCAAGTTGCACACCTTCCAAAAGCTAGCGGCTCTCGGGTCCTTCTGCTATTTTTTGAGGCTGTAAAGGAGTGTGCCCATCCAGAATGAACCGAGCTTTCCGGCACACTGGGCCAACATCAACAGGAGCCCACCGGTCTCCCTCCCCAGCCAGGTTACCCAGGCAGACACAGCCCTCGGCAGATGCGCCCCATCTGCTCCCCTGCAGGGTCCCTTGGGGACAGGTGCGGCCAGTGGATATGGGCCCCTGATGGCAGATGCGAGCAAGCCAGGGCCTGCAGCTGAGGCCCAGGTGTGCCAGCCACCTGATCAGGCAGGTGTGCCACCTTCCGGAATCCCTCAGCCACGTCACACCTGGCCCTCAGTTCACCCCTTCCCTTTACCTTACCACTCTGCTCAGTGTTGCACCCCTCCCCCGCAGCTCTGCTTTGTGATGTTCTGGACCCCCAATGTCTCCGAGAAGATTCTGATAGACATCATCGGAGTGGACTTTGCCTTTGCCGAGCTCTGTGTCATTCCTCTGCGTATCTTCTCCTTCTTCCCAGTTCCAGGTAAAGGACAGAAGCGCTCCCATTCACCCTCGGGCCCAGTTGAGTCTTCTTTCTTTGGGAATTTCAAGTCACTCTTAACAAGTCATCCCAACAAAAACATAGAATTTCACAGTAGATTAAAAGGATGCAAAGGCATTCGCTACCAGGTTAAAAGTTCACATTTATGTGTGAAATGCAAGTTACTTGAACTATAAATTCCAAAGCCAGTTTTACAGTGTGACAGGTTAAAAAAGAAAAAGGAAATAGATTGAGCGGATGGCTGAAACCTGGAGCTGCGTGGAAAAAGAAAACAACTCTTGGGAGAAAAGAAGAGTCCAGGGGCAAAGCTAGGGCCAGAGAGCACAGAGGCAAAAAGGAAAATGCCCACAGCAAAAACCATACGTCAGTGTGGACGTTGCCAAGTGGGTCAGTCATATGAGATGTACTGCACCAGAATGAGGTTGTGCTGCATTAAATGAGAAACCAAGCAGTGGAGCAGTTCGTGCATATGCAACCATGGCTGTACCAAACAAGCTCACCAACACTTTTGTTTGCATAGAATTTAGTTCAGGGCACAGGTTTGGTTTTTGTTTCCAAACTCTACATCAGGTGACAAACGCAGCTGCAGCCATCCTACCCACAAATACAAATGTGAGCATCTTTTCCAAAATTGCAGAATTAAGTTCATGAACTGAGATGCCACTGTCTATATAGCAAGGGCTGCATTATCTATATTGAGTTTCTGGAAGGAATCCACTGCTGATAACGGGTTGCTGTGGAAAAAGGCATGGTTAAGGATTTCATGCTATATTTCTTTTGGCACCATTTAAATTCTGCACCAAGTGCCTGTCACCTAGTAAGACATAAACTGCCAGTTCTGCAGGTGTGAGCTCACATGCTTAGTGTGCTTAATCCCTAGCACCAATGAAAGAAAAATTGCCAAAAATAGTCCACCTAAATCAGTGCTGGCGAAGCTACGGCAGGTGTGCCACAGTGGGCTGTTGGCAACATTGAAAGCTCTGAAGAGTTCACCATCACTGCCTTAAGCCAGTAAACCTAGAAGCCAGATTCTAAAAGCCTCAATTTGGTTAAAATATGAGCTCTAGAAGTCGGTTAGGCCAGGGATGATGGCACCCCTGTCAAACAATCAGTCCCACTTTTAGGTACTAAGCCTTTCTGGAGGCTAGGACTGGCAGGTTTTACTTTCTGGACTGTGACAAGGGTGGCATCTGGCCTTTGTCAGGTAGATCCTGGATGAGCCAGGCCTTGGAAAGTTAATGCCATCTAAGGTACTGATGCTAGAACAAGCAAGACTCGTGTGGTACATTTCCCACAGTCGTGACCCAATGAAGGACCAGACCTCGAATCGGGCCAGCTCGGCCAGGCTATCTGGGTGTGTGATTCACCTGCAGTCTCCTCTGGCTGCACCTCTGCCGGGGAGCCAAGGGTCTCCAGACAGCTGTCAGCCCCCATCTGCTCTTGGCAGGCTGTTGCGTTTGGGCTACCAGATTAGACGTGCCTGAGACCCTTAGCATCTCCCCTGGCCTAATTTAAGTTGACGTGCCTGTGCCTATGAGAAAGTGACCCTCATTAGTACACCATTCCATCTCTGGGACATCAGCACACACCGAGAGATCACAAGGACAGTGGGGGGGGTAGCTTGGTTCAGTGACAGGGGGCTTGCCCAGAACTCACAAGGCTCTAGGTTCAGTCCGGCTCCTCAAAAGCAAGACAGCAGGTGGTGCCTGGCCACCCACCCCTGGGAGCAGGTGTTGCCCAGGAGTGAGGAGGCCTTGCTGTGAGGGTCCAACACCATACCAGGGGTGGGAGGCTGGTACGTCTGAGCTTGGAGTGGTCAGGGCAGCTGAGGACAGGATGGACGGGAAGTGTGGGCAGCTACAGTGCCCCGTCTTTACTCACAGCCCTCATCTCCTGGCCTTGCTTGGCTGGCAGGAGGGAGACAGCTTCTGGCCTTTCTCTATGTTTCCTCCTAGAGGTGCAGGCCAGAGCTGGGTAGGTGGGGCTGGCCGATGGGGCAGCAGTTGGGGAACAAGACTCCTCCCTGCCTCTGCCGTCTAGAGGGTAGGCCTGTAGGGGTGGGGTGCAGGAACCTGCAGACAACGCCAGACTCAGAAACTCCTGGCGGGAAGGCCGCTTCCAGCTTTGGGAAGGTAGTGGTCCCAGGACTGCCACCTGGGCCAGAGACAACAGCAGAACAGACAGACACAGGGTGGCAGCGGGCACAGCTGACAGGCCCTCCGTCTCTCACAGTCACCGTCAGGGCCCATCTCACTGGGTGGCTGATGACCCTGAAGAAGACCTTTGTCCTGGCGCCCAGCTCCGTGCTTCGGATCATCGTGCTCATCACCAGCCTCGTGGTCCTACCATACCTGGGGTAGGTCGCCAGGGGCTTGGGGCTGGGGGTCTTCTGCCACCAGGTACCCTGTCCAGGGGGTTAAACTCTGCTGCTTGAACACTGAAAGCCCCAAGTGTGTTAGAGCCAGGTATTCGCAAGCATATTAGTGCACTGCTACCTTCCTGGGTGACGCCTGCTGGGCAAGGGGGACCTGATGGGCCGGGAACATGGGTGGGAAGGTGCTGGCCTGAAGGTAGATGTCATCCCCACCCTGGGAGAACCGCTGGGCCCCAGGGAGGGGACAAGGAACAAGGCTGGTCAGCAGGGCTGAGCTGATGCTTGGCTCAGGGAGCTCTTGTCAGTGGCAGGCTTGGCTCTGGTTCTAGATCTCCCACAGATGGGTGTTAGGTTCAGGCCTTCCCAACCCATCTCCACTCTGCACCATTCCTGGGCCTGAATGGGCTTCCAGGTCAGCTGCTGTGCCCCGACTTGCTGTAATGGATGCTTAAACCACCTGCACCTTCTCATCCCCAGGGTACATGGAGCCACCCTGGGCGTGGGCTCCCTGCTCGCAGGCTTCGTGGGAGAATCCACTATGGTCGCCATTGCAGCATGCTACGTCTACCGGAAACAGGTGAGAGATGGTGACAGAGCTCCAGGTCCCCGCCCAGATGTCAGCAGAGCCACGCCCATGGCCACGCCTGTGTGGTGGTGACCGAGGCGGGCGCTGTCCCTTCATCGGGCGCTGTCCCTTCATCGCATCCTCCCAGGGTCTGCCCTGCCCACTGCAACCCCAGCGCCTGCGTGAGAAGCCCTCAGGGCCAGCGTCACCTCAGCCTTAGTCAGATTCAGTAACAAAATGAGGATGTCACTCCTGTCATTATATACAGAGCCTCCTCCCCCAAAATGTATACACGTCAGGAAAAGAAAAACTTATAAATATCTTAATACTAAGTTTATTGAGACATGATGACATTAATACAAATTACCTTTGGTCTGTATAAGAGGCCCTCAAAGTGGTGGCCGTTAGCTTCCAGACATTTATTAATTAGCACAAGCTGCTGAAGTGTGGATACAAGTTTGTGGTAGACTCTGAATATAATGACAACAGTAACATCCTCAGTTTGTTACCAAACCTGACTGAGGCTGAGGTGACGCTGGCCCTGAGGGCTTCCCACCCAGAAGTGGCAAGTCTCTGCGGTCCCACATCCTAGTGTTTGCTCTGGAGAATTGCAGAAAGCGAGTAATAGTATTAACCATGTTAGAAAAGCCTGGAATGATTTCACTCCAGTGAGCCCCAGAGAACTGACAACACGGAGACATTCTAGAGCCAAGTCGGGGAGGAGGAAAGCGGTTCACAGGTGACGGTCGGGTGGGAGTCGACAGCAGTCTGCATGTGAGGGGGCTGCAGGGCCAGTGTCTGAGACGGCCCCAGGGGACACAGGCTTTGGGAAGGGGGGACGTGTCCCCTAGGACAGCGTGAGGCGCAGGGTAAGCACAGCGACGGGAGTGTGCCGGACCAGGGTGCAGCCTGCTGAAGTCACCCCCACCATAAACCTGATCCAGTCTGCAGGTCTCCCCCACTCCCCTCGCCCCAGAGGCTTCTCCCTGTCACGACCGTGCTGTGACCTGTCCCTGTCCACAGCCGCTCACTGATGAGTCTTCTTTGATCTAGAAAAAGAAGATGGAGAATGAATCCGCCACGGAGGGAGAGGACTCCGCGATGACCGACATGCCTCCCGCCGAGGAGGTGACAGACATTGTGGAAATGCGAGAGGAGCGCGACTGAAGCACTGGACACCGAGGGGCACCGCAGGGACAGCTGGACGACACTGCACCGTCGTCTCCTCCCTCTCCCACTGCGTCCTCTCTCTCCCCCGCCATGTCCCCCTCCCAATGGAAGAGGCCTTGATTTAAAGGTTTCCTGTAAATCCTCTAGCATACTGGGTATGCTCACACTGATGTGGGGACCTAAGGAAGGGTCTTTACTGTCGCTTTGTAAACACAAAACCATTGACTTTGTGCCCCTGCTTCACGAGAACCGAAGGACATAGCTGCCTCATAGTCGAAGTCTCTACTCCCGGAACAATCTCCACTTGGAACCAAAGGACTGCGCCTGTGCCACCGTCCAGCGGGCTCCTCTGCCCAGCAGGCCCTGGACTCTGTCCCTCTGTGTCTTTGGAATCAGCAGGTGAAAGTGTGGCCACTCTGACTCGCTTCCAGGCAGTGTGGATGTACAGAGACGGGAGCGGGCGCCAGTGCCCCTGCACCGCGGACACGCCAGCTGCCTGCAGCACACAGAAGGTGGCCACGGGCCACAGCTGGAGTCACCACTCGAACCGAGGAACAGATCAGTGACCACGCCCGGCTGCGGTACGGAAACACTGTCCCGCAGGAAGCTTCGCGACGCCACCAGAGCAGCACCTCACTCTGTGTCCTCCAGTTTGCGTGAGCCCTCCCCGCCCACGTGTATATACATGAGCTAAGTTTTCAAAGTCGTGCACAAGCGCATCTCCAGACGCCAGCGTCCCTCCCTCCGCATGACTCTCCCCGAGGGCTTGCTTGTCACTCACCTCTCCTGAAGGTGGCACTAGAGCGAGCTTACCGGCGCCTTCTAACTTCCCACTTAGTTTTCCCGTGAACTGAAGCTTTAAGTCTAATCTAGCATTCTAATGCCAGATTGCTGTCTCCTAACCTTTGAAGTAGATTTATTACCTGGTTCTGCCACTCCCAGTCACAACTGTGCGGTACAGGTAATTCAGAGTGTACCACGGTACTTCTGTCTCACACACACCATAAAGCAAGACATTTTATAGACGATTATCAAAGTCACTATGTGATACTCCCTGAAATAATGCATTGGAAGTCCATTTAGTGCAGTATATTTTTCTAAGTTTTTGAAAGCGGGTTTTTTCCTTTAAAAAATTATGGCCACAGGTCACTAAATTGATTTAGTCAAAATAACTAGACTGAAAGAACCTAAACAAAAAAAAAATATTTTAAAGATATAAATATATGCTGTATATGTTATGTAATTTATTTTAGGCTATAATACATTTCCTATTTTCGCATTTTCAATAAAATGTCTCTAATACAATATGGTGATTGCCTGCGTGCTAGCATACATACAGTAGAATTACTTCACTGGCCATTCTATCTTACTTGTGGCAGTTTTGGTTTCTTTTTTTTTTTACAAAGTCCTTCTGTATGAATGTAAGGGTTGGTGGTAAATAACAAGAGAACTATTTTCCATGATGGGTAACTGGAAATAAATGGGTCTACTGGTATACACGACAGGGGAGATGAGGGTAAGTCGGAAGGGCAGCAAAGAAAAAAGGCCTCGCGTGTCTGTTGTCTTCGCGCTGTGTAACCGCACTGTTCCTCAGAGAGACAAGACTGTAAGGGCGGACAGCAGGCCGTGGACAGCACTGGGTTTCATTCACATCCCTGGATACTCACCGCCCCGCGGATGTGCCTACCATGGGGACGAGTCCCTGCATACTTCCTCCAAGTGGCTTTTCATTTATATATAGACGGTTAAGACACATAGCTGCTTTGGGGGGGGTTCAGGGGCAGATCTGAAATGATGGAAAAAAACCCCATCTAATTGTACTGGCTTTTTTTAAAGTACGTGACTAGAAAATTAAACAGCAGTATTTTTTAATATGTGTGACTTTTCATGCTTCTGGGGTCAAAACTTACAGATCAGATTGTGCAAGCAGATCCTTGCCCTGTCAGTCCAGAACGATCAGCCGGTGACTCTTCACTATGCAATTAGGAGATATAATTATAACTCCAGAGATACCTTCGGTGATAAAGATTAATGAGCCATTCTGTGGTGTTAAGTTTCCCAGAGCCCAGGAAGCAGGACCAGCCCGATCACAGTACAGGGCTGCAGTGTTCCTTCCCCTGGGCTGGCGTCGGGGCCAGCAAGCAGCTGAACCAAAGCAGAACTCACGTGGGCAGCTTCTATTCTCCCCAAGAACTCGGACACAGTGGGGAGGGGGCCCCCTACTTTTCAGAATCACTAGGAACAATCTTTCAACTTTGCCAAAACCAAGAGAGGTTCCCTGACACATTTATCTTTGAGCAGTTCATTCAGCTGACTGCTATATTTAGATGGGCACTGTGCCTGTGAGATTCGCACCTCAAAGACCATGGAAAGGCTGGTGTGACTTTCTCAAGATTAAACCATTGCTTGTAGACAAGTGCGATCCAAAATTATAAGGGCATAAAGCAGTTTTCCACTAAATGCTGAGAGATGAGCTGGGCAACTCAAAGCATAGGCTTTCTGGGAGGATTTTCCCAGAGAGGCCTTGAGGGGCCCAGTGGTTTTCTGAGGCCACTGCATTTGTTCTGCAGTGGGCTTGTGCCCAAGAGTTAGTCTTCAGAGTCACAAGAACAGTTGACAGCTCCCTCCATGCTTCACTGTTCCTTATTTGGGGATCTTCTAAAGGGAAGAGGCAGAGGAGAGGATCTATTTCTGTATCCTTGGCTTCTAGAAACACACACCTACTTAGACTCAGTAGCTCTGATTTTTTTCCTCCTTCAAAGTGAAACAGAAGAATGTGCATGTGTTGTGAAATTGAAAGTATCTGTATGATTGTAATTGAATTACATTACCTTGAAAACTGTTTTCCTGTATTTAGAAAGCTTCCTACGTCACTCAGTCTCTAGTAGACCAGTGCCCGGAAAATCATGTGCCAGTCTGTACCCACCAGCCGTGGTCTCTGGCTCTGCAATTAAGCTCCCTGCCAGACTCGGGGTGAAGTCTTCATCCATCAAGCAGTGCGCAGTCCAGAAAAGGGGGTCCTTCACGTTCCGAGTTTGGCCCCCACCCCTGCTTACAATGAAAACCGTGGCACGGTGTGTGGTGGACTTTGAAAGCCTTGGTGACGTCAGGATGGAGATGTCCACTGCACAGAGGACGCTTTCATAAAAAGCATCTGAACCGTAGAGAAGCATGTTTTTGAGCAACGTGTCTGGTAAACATTTGAGATACTCCTCTGTGTGGTTATTCTGAATCTAAGCAGCAAAACATCAGGTGATTCATCAGCTGATCTAACCACACATGAAACAGGATGTAGAAAAACCCTGAAGAAAATCGTAAGGCCTTCTGGCCCACCCTTTCAAGGGCTAAAAATATCACAGAAATGTTTTGCAGGAGAGAAACGATTATGTAATCAAAATAGCCCTCATTCCACTCAGAAATCAGAAAAGGTAGCACTTTTTTATCTCAAAAGGGAAAAATAATGAAGAGATGAAGTGAGCTTGTTCTAATTTCTTTTTCTCCCCAATAGGGGAGGTTAGGGCTAGATTTTACACCTCTGTGCTAAGAAAAGCGCCTAAATCAAAAGAAAAAAAAAAATTCTCTGCCAAATCCAAAAAGTTCCAGGGGAATTATTACCAATACCTTTAGAAATATTTTACTTTAGTGATAATTATTTTCTGCTTCACTTGCAATCAACTTGGGTCTCTTAAAGACAGTGTAAGATATGAATGTTTACAAATGTCGATTCAGTACACATGGATTAAGCAATTGTTTCTTATATACTTTTCAAGTTAGGCTACATAATTTCAAGTGCACTTTAAAGACATTGGTTTCTACATTACATACATTTAAACAAAAGCACACAACACAGAACCCTTCCTTTTGAGAAATATAAGAGCTTTCTTCAGGTTAAAGAAAGGGACAAACCAACTCCAAATGGGTGCATTGTGCTCTGGACTCTTTTATGGCAGCCGATGACGTGGAGAGGTGGAGAGGACTGTAAGGTTTAAAGGCAGGTGTCCTGACTGCAAGCAGGGTGCCTCTGAGGTGGGGGCGTCATGGTCAGTACACTCTAGGCCTCTGCAGCGTGCAGCTCGTAACTGCAGGGACCCATGGTTTGGATGAAACGGCACCTGAAGGACTCCTCACCCCACTCTGTCACATCACCAGTCCCCAAGAGACCACAGCACTGGCCGTTCACAATGAGGCTCCACCTCACGGCTTCTGGTGGCGAATCCCTGGCTCCTGGTCTGCTTCACGAAGGCTACCTAGGGCGGCTATCTAAAACCAGTGCAACCAGCGGGCCCACGAGCCACAGGGGGATTCCGTGCAGGGCCGCCAAGCCCACACTTGCACACCACTTCCAAGCCCTCGAGCGACCTTCCCCGTCACCCATGGCCCTCTGGCCTCACCCTGCTCAGCTGTCCCCAGTGAACCCGGGCCACCACTGCTACGACCTCATCCTGGTCTGACAGTCTACTATACTAAACACGGGACAGGATCCGACACCGGAAAATCGATCTACCTCATCTTCATCTCAGAGAATGAGCAACACTCCAGAACCGTCTCTCTCGTTTTCCGTGAAAGTTACGAATGAAGTCTACAGGGTGTCAGTCCTGTGGCTGTCAGCTTACGGGCTTTTCAGTTTCACATGGAAACTGCGGTTTCCTTGAAATCGCTGAGATCAGTCATATGAAGTATTTCTGTGTAGCCTTGGATTAGAAGTGACTGCAGAGGTAAAATATATACTGCATTTAAATAAGTGCTGATTGTGTGTTTAATAGCTGTGTCTGCTTTACGAGCATTTACACAATCGCTTTGTTTTGGCTTTCCTTTAGTTTTCTGGATTTGTACATTACATTGTCAAATAGGTTTCATGTTTCAATTTTAGTTTAAGTAAAGCTCAAAAAGTTGGTGTATAATTAAGGCTGCTTATAGTTTCTTGATTTTCTAATTATTCTGTTTACTCATCACACAGTTACTGGGATTCTTAATCCTGACTATAATTTCCCTTTTTTTTAAGATTGACGTGAGATTTTAAAATGTGGCCCTTTGCCTTGGGAGTCCTATTCTTACTGGTCTTTGTCATGAAAACCATTACTCATTTTTAAAAACTGTCACCTTAACCTCCAAGATGGCTCTCGGTTTTTTTTTTTTTTTTCCAAACTCCTCATAAAGTTCTGTATAAAGTGTTTTTATGGTTCCCATAACGCATAAACCACTGACTTGCTAGAGATACAGGTTTCCTCTCTCTCTGCTCTATTACGTCCTTGGGTTGAGAGCCCAGCTCTCTCTCCCCCCTCTGCCCCTGCCTGTCCCCCAGAGCACTGGGCAGTGTGCTCAGCTACAGGGGCAGGTTTGACGGGTTCTGGCAGCACTACCCGGACACTGTCTCCACAGAGCACAGTGCTAACACCACGAGGTGTTAGTCTGCCCCTCCCTGCATCCACATAAGTCACATTTGTCACCTCCTCCAGCTGCAAACAGCAGCAGCCCACCAGCAGCATGTCAACTGCAACTCCTGGAGGCTCTCACTTCTGTCCCTTCCTGCTGAGCTCAGGAGGGACCTCTGTCCAGTTCTCCCAGATTCCCTGATGCAGGGAACAGGGCTTCAAGGGAAGGGGCATGGCTTGTATCTCCTCCTGCCCCGTCAGCCCTGTCCTACCTGGACACAAGCCAGTGAATGCCATGCCAGTGTCACAGTCCAGCGCAACCAAAACAAAGCAAGAGCTGTGTCCTCCCGGTTTCCTGTGCTTATCAGCCATGCGTCAAGAAGTGAGGGGCCCTGGACCCACCTCCTGCACTCCAGGGCAAGAGCTGCTCTCCTTCCAATCCACTGCAAGCACAACTCCTGATGTGCGCGGCACAGGACACTGGCAGTGCAGGACACAGGTCACAACTGCTAAGCTTCCGAGCCACAGGGAAACACCTCTGCCAGCAAATCTAAGTCTTCAGGTCTGCTTTCAATAAAGAAAAAACACTACCAGTTTCATGAAACAAAGTGAAATCTAATTTTCATCTCAGGTTCAGAAGCCACTGAACCCAAAGACCTAAACAGAATTAATCAGTGGGGGCCAGGGATTTAGCTCAGCAGCATAAACGCCTGCCTGGCAAGCTCAAGGTCATGAGTTCAATCCCCAGTGCCAAAAAAAAAAAAAAAAATCAATGGAATAGCTATTTTCAAACTTTACATTACACTGCACATCATACCGGACACCGACCTGCACAACAGCCTGGCTTCCTGCGGCCTGCAGAGGCAGCAGCCCCCGCATGAACTAGCTCCTACTGCTACCTGCAACTGCAGGGCCAACAGGGTTCCCCGTGACCCCAGCCTTCTGCCCTTCTCAATGCTCCCGCCTTGTGGAACCGCTCTTCCATGAGATGTGATACAAGAACCAAAGGTAGTTAGAAAACAGGACCAAGGGATAAAGACGTGAACAGGGGTGGCACTGCCCTCACACAAAGACCCACAAATGGTTCAGACATGAAGGTGCTCAACCTTACCCAGGTAAAGAAACACAAACTGAGCTTCTAAAGATCCACTCAGGAAAATCAAAGCTTGATAAAGCTTGGTGTGGGCCAGGGCCCAAGGAACTGGCCTGCATTCTCTCCAGCAGGACTGTAAGTGAGCGGGGCTGCTCTGTGGGACCATTCATTCAGCAAGGTATTTCCAGTATACACCCAGCTAGGGATTGAGATTAGTCACAGACACAGAATAGGGTCTTAGTATTATCCCTAGGCTGGGCTCCAACTTGCAATCCTCCTGCCTCAGCCTCCCAGAGTGCTGAGATTACAGGGATGTACAACCACGCCTAGCTGTCATCTGTATCACCAAGAGGTCCTTTTGCTGCCCTTACTAACCTAGCAGTGCTTTCTGAGGGCTGCCCTGCCCC